TAGCTCTTTCATTCATAAAGTTTTCCCCTCATAAGTTTTAATATAGACTGCGTTATTGCTAAATCTTTTTCAAACATTAATACATTGTACTCTTCGGTTATTTCGCAATTTTCAAATAATTCAAGTGGAAAATTTTCTGAATGTGAAACTCATTTATTTGTTTCAGTTAAGCGTGTCGCTTTACGATTTTTACTTACTGTTGTTCAAAACTTTATTCAAAATCTTAATCTATTCAAAACAACTTCTCAAAATCCAAATGTATTACGCAAACAACGTATTACAACTTATGCATTTCTCTTATGTATCGTAGTCAGTATTTATATATACAGTTCCTATATTATTCTCAATACTCATACAAAGACTATCATCGTAAATAGTCCATCTCCAGACGACTATAGACATCTCTGGAAAATATATTCCGATAATGTTAACTGTCCATGCTCACAAATTGCTGTTCCATACTCGAGTTTTATTCAAATTGTGCCAAGATTTCATCAATTATGTTCAAGTATGTTGATTTCTCCAGAATGGTTGAACTATATGTTGAAAATAGGACCTGCTTTTCCGATTAATGGCCAATCTTCTTTTGGTAATTTGATGGGAGCATACTATTTCAAAGCTCTCTCCATATTTTGTTCAATAGCAAATAAAACTATGTTAGATGCTTATCAATTGTTTTATGCCAATATATTAGTCAATGACCGTATTCAGTCGGAAAATGTCTTTAACATTAATATGAAAAATCTGGTTGATAAGTTCACTGACTCAACACGTTCTGAATTTCAACGCACTTTGTCAATCATTCGAACTCTGATAAATGCGAATGCATTTATTACCACAACAATGATAAGCAAAGAACTAAAGTCAACAGACGGTAGTCGAATAGATATAGTGGTGCCAATACTACAAATTGGTGCGTCGCGTGTTGGCTTCTATTGCTCTTGCTTATTACAAAGTATGTATTGCTATGAATATGAAGTTATCTATTCTGTTGATGCATTCGGTTCTGCAATATGGATACCTATACAAAATAAATGTTTGATGACTGAAACAGTACTCACAGAATCATTGGAGTGTTGGTTCGATGATTCCGGTTCGAATGTCTCGCCCAATGATTACCGTTCAAATGTCTTGCGCAATGATTATGTTACCATGGCCGTTGACAATCTTATCGATATTAATCTACTTGATATAAATATTCCAAGTAAATTCATGATCAGTGATACAATGGAAGTATTGATGAATGCTCTTCTACTTGAAAATCAAACAGTCAACGTTTCTTACAATCAATATTACAATAAATGCTCTCCTTTGTTCTGTACCTATGACATTCAACAACGATTCGAATTGATATTTTTGATAACCAGTATTGCAGCTATGTATGCAGTTTTAAGTAAAATTCTTCGATTGATTTTGCCAATGCTGGTTCACTTAATATTTATTGCTTGGAAACGACTTCGATCGCAAGATCTTTCTACTAATCAATCAACATCCATAATTCAAAACACTCACTGTAATAGTACGTAACTGAATATACTTAATTTTTAAGATAGCGTATAAATTTGTTATACATTTCAAGTCATTAGTAATATTATAATCCTCAAGATTGTTTCAAAACTCTTATTCAAAACAGAAGGAGTTTGTACGCCGAGTATAGAGTTTCCGTTTCTATTGAAAAATCCAATCAAAGTTGCAGTACTGTCTGAAAAAAGATATTTCATTCAAAATAACTATTGCCTTTGCAAAGCGTTCGTGGTTGTTTCTCTCGATTTCCGGAAAAACTCTATGAAAAGAGCAGAAATTTGACAAAGCTATTGGTTTTGTAGAAGAAATAACAAAAAAAGTTGAAAGTTCTTAATTAGTTCTGATACTGACAAACATGCAAGAACATTTTGGTAAATGAGCAACGCTCAACACTGTAAAAATTGAGGCCCTTCCTGAGTATAGAAACGCGTTCTTAGAAATATCTTATATAGCTAGAATGTCATGCAAGTTCCCACTTAAAATATCACATGAAGCATACCCAGGTCGAGCAATCAGATAGTAAGATCAGCTATGGATTCATGCATGACCATATCTGATCTTATGTCAGAATCATATATGTTCATGTAGAATCATATATGTTCATGTAGAATCATACAAAAAAATGATATAAAATATCGTAGTCTCTGCGATCTGATATCAATTCATATGGCACGACTCTTCTATGATTATACAACATGATCTGATACGATGCTATAGAATCATATAGTAATAATTCCCCTGATACAGTCAGAAACATACATAGCTGGTACTCCTTACCCGCCTTCGTCAATTAGACTTTAATCTAACCTTAAATAACTCTTCCAATCCACATAAAGACACTAATCAAGAGGTACCCTCGCCACTCACGCCAGGAGTACCTACGACTCTCGCTTAACCATTTCCCCGCTACCTAGAACTCACTCTTAAGTACCCTAGAGTTAGATTGGACTCATTTCTAAGTACCATAATGATGCCTAGAATCCACTTCTAAGTCCCTCAGGGGTACCTAGGACTAACTCCTAAGTACCCCAGAATTAGATTGGACTCACTCGTAAGTACCACGAAGGTGGATTGAACTCACTTCTAAGTACATCAGGGGTACCTAGGACTCACTAGAAAGTACTCCGGAGGTAGATTGGATGTACTTCTAAATAGGTGAGGGGTAGCTATTACGCACTCTAGGATACACCAATGTTGATTGAACTAACGTCTAAGTACCCCAGGCGTACGTTGGACTCGCGTTTATGTATTGGAGGAGTTCATGGAACCTCGTTTTAGATGGTATTTTCTGCATTGTGGATATGGAGAGATAAAAATAGAGATTGCAGTATTAAATATGGTGAATAGAACAAAAGAGAAACTTAAGGAAAAGTTTAGAAGTCATAAATATTGAAAAATAAATGAAGTCTAATTGCTTTTTCTGCCATGAATATAGAAAATTGAAAATTCAAGAGATAGGTTTGTATATTACCAAAATATAACGATAATAAATAGAAGCAAGCGTTCTTTATGCTATCTCCGACATGGAAACATTTGGAATAAAACTAAGGTTGTGGATACTAATGAGTTAGAGGAAGAAAGAAAAATATTTGGACTGCTTAATCCTCTTTTTTTAAGTACTGCAGGTCATAATAAGCCTGATCGAGTAGATAATGCTCGAAGAATTGTAGCGCAGAACCCGGAATGTACGATCAGATATGGATGGACAAGACTTAATTTATGCAATGATATCTGATTCTTGTTTCAAGAATCTGATAGGATATCTTAAGATCGGATAGGAATCGTAGTGTTTGATCCTGTAAGGTGCTGCATCTTTGATTCTTGCAAGATTTTTTGCTTGCATCTTATAGTCAGAATCTGATGAAACATTTAAGAATGAAAACTTATTTGATCTGACAGTAAGATCATACGAAAAATCTTCTATGGATAAGATTTTGTATTATCTTGCATGGTCTGATGCCTGCTTTTTCGACCTGGGATGGTAGGATACCAAAACTTAAAATTTTAAAAGAAAAAGTAAAATAATACATATACAATGGTTCATATGTGGCAATAACTCTAAATGAATCGCATTTTTCTGGACAAATGCAATAATTTTTTTTTGAAAAACTGCAACACTTCTATATTAATTATCAGTTACTTTTAATATCTTCTTCATGAGTAAAAATATGAAATCGGTATTGGTCAATAAAACGAATCATTTTACTTAGTTGAAAGGATAGGGGCGCATAAGAAGCCAATTTGGCCCATAGGATATTTTCAGTCACTTTACTGCCCATCCTATTCAGAAAAATGTGTTGATACTTTTGGTAATAATTTCAAGTCAAGCTGTAAGGATTATAAGCCACTTTGAGGGAGAATGCCTGCAAAAAAGTATTGAAGTTTCATTGGGCTCATAGTTGTCTAGTATTAGCTAAAAATATACGACTTTTAGACAATGTTTCAAGCTCAACCCATATTGGTTAGAAAGAGCGTTTAATACTGCATCGTTTCATATAAAACCTACTATTCTCTCATTAAAGATTTAATCATGGAAAATACTGTCCTTTCACAGGGGTATGCTTCGGTACCTCACATCCGAACAATAATTAGAACTGTTTGACATGCTTTTACGTGTAAGCCAAGCCTTTTTATATGCCATTTGATAGAGTGAAGAAAGAGCTACAAGATGATGCATAATTGATTTGATTGCAATATGGGCCACTATATTGAAAGTGTGTATAAATTGTTTGGGAGCACAAAAAGTACACTTTTTTGCTCATTATTGAGCGAATTTGATAAGAGTAATTCGACTTTTGATAGACGAAAATGGTATATTTGAAATCAGCATAAAAAACTGAGTCGATCCATATAGCTTTGAAAATTTTCTGAGTACTTTTATTTTCGTCCAAAAATTCAGCTGGGGTCCACCTCAGGGTTAGGTCAAAAAATGAAATCCATTAAAACAGTGTTTTTATTTATTAGTCATTTGTGTTTTTCAATTTTCTTAACTTTTAACAACTGCAGAACTTGTTTTTCACAGTCCGAATGGCGTTTCAATCGATTTCATTCTTTGACCTAACCCTGAGGGGGACCCCAGCTGAATTTTTGGACGAAAATAAAAGTACTCAGAAACTTTTCAAAACTATATGGATCGACTCAGTTTTTTATGCTGATTTCAAATATACCATTCTCTTCTATCAAAAGCTGAATTATTCTTATCAAATTCGCTCAATAATGAGCAGAAAAGTGCACTTTTTGTGCTCCCAAACAATTCATACACACTTTCGATATAGTGGCCCATATTGCAGTCAAATNTACAACATTCATAAAGTGACCAAGATATTCAAGTATTAGAAATAGAAAATAGCAGGATGCGGTGGGTCTTTACTTTTCTTCGAACTCTTAATCTCTACAAATCGCAGTCAAATGATGTTGAGGTAGAACGTCGTGAAAGACTATCTACTACAGTTTTCCTCTGTCTTTTATTTGTGTTCATGGTATCTGCTGTTACCTATGCCGTGTCTTCATCGCGTGTAGTCAATATTACGATACAAAATCCAACTGCAGACAAATTCAAAAAGCTTTATGATCAATATCCAAATACACTTAAATGTCCTTGTTCATCGCTTACTGTACAGTACAGTGAATTTGCGAATTTTCAAGTAACTTTTCATGAAGTGTGTCAAAGCCCATTTATCTCACAAGAGTGGATTAATGAAATCTATGCCGCCAATGTTTCATTCATTGCTCCCAATGATATCCGAACATTAATTAGCAATTTTTGGCAACTAGTTCGTTCATTCTGTAGTTTGACAAAATCTTTTCTCATTGCTGCAAACAGTGAATTCAATTCAAACAATTTAGTGAGTCTTTTAGCACAACCACAATTTATCATTGAGGCGAATATCTATACATCTCTGAATTTTACACTCAAGACAGTAGTAGCAAAGATGAAGCGATACATGCTCATATATCGTGAAACAATATTGGTGAATCGAGCAATATCGAGCTTAGGTACTAATTATTTCATTTACTTCAATGATTACAATGGTGATCCCATTGCATTTGCCAAAGCCACGGATTTCTCAGATGGTTGCTCTTGTCAACATTTGAATGGATGTCCACGTTCTACTATGATTGTTGACGACAATGAATCATTTGATTCGATGACGGTACCAGGCATTATGTTCGACTGCTTACCATTAGATGCCACACTCTCGTCTTCGTTGGAATGTTTTTACGATTCATGGTGTCTATCCTTAATTCAAAATTTGTCATCAAGTAATATGAGACTATCACCACTAAATGGTAAAAGTCGTTTCGAACGCAATACTACTTTAACGATACTTTTAAATGAACTAATAATTGAAGAAATAACGGTGAAATACAACTTTTCATCTTATTATTTTATTTGCAGTCCAAAATATTGTACATTTTCATACACTCGCCGATTCGATTTAAGTTTTGTCATCGCATTTGTTAGTAGTGCGTTTAGTGCTGGATTACTTGTATTCAAATCTATAGCTCCATTCTTAGTCAAGCTTGCATTTATAATAATTTCATGGAGAAAAAAGAAAAATTCGGCAAATGTTGATGACAATCATCAAACCTCAAGTTCTTGTGAGTTATTAAAATTTAAAAAAACTACTGCATAAATATTATTGTAGTATGATTGAGAATAGTTTTCGCAGTCGATGATGAATCAATTTCTAACGTCAAATTTCGTATTTATTATAAACTTCTATAGAGCACTGTATATTGGTATAATGTAGTTAGTATTTAGAACCAACAAATCATGAAGAAGATTTATATTCTGTTCAGATTCTACGAGAGAGAACATGATCATTTATGAAATCTTTATCAGATTTGTTAAGCCGTTAAGTACCATTAAGTCCATAGATTATTTTTCCGTGAAAGTTGACCATCCAGTACTATTCTATGTCTTCGGATATTAGCTAAATGAATAGATAATAAGTACCTAAAACAATAATGTGAGAAAGAACTCAGCGTGTTCATAAGTAATATTTCATTTTTGAATATATTGACAGCTTTTCATTTTATTTATTTTATTATACGATTTATGTAAGTCATCGACCAATTGTATATCCAGCTACAAGACAGTGAGAAAATGAAAGGCGAAAAATATTGAAAACATCTTGGGCAAACAAATATTAAATTAAAAGAACGAAACTGTACGATCATATAAAAAAAAACTTGAAAATCATCAAAAAATTTGACTTCGCAATTTACAGCCATTGAATCTTTTATGAAGTAGTTATTAATTATATGCAACAAGTAACTTATAAACAGTTAATAATGATGTTTTTTTTCCGTTTAAATCAATCATGTGATAAATTTGCTCTGCATATAATCATCATATTACGATTGTGAAAGTCAATCTATGCTATTCAATACTGTCGGTACCTCGAGCATAATTTTGATTGAGGAAAAACTCAAAAACTACATTGATTAGAATATTGTCAGATGCCATCATTCAATATAAATATTCTGAAGTTTGTTTAAATATAGAGGTGTGGAGGTCAATAATACATAGACGAGAAGGCATACAACTTCCAATTTACAATGTTACATGTGCTATTTTCTTCGAAAAGACAAGTGACTTCCATAGATGTTGTAGAAAAAAAAAACTTAGTTGATCAATTTTTAATTAACATTTAATATTGTCTGATTGATCATTTTACTATGATATAAATTATTAATAGAGTATGTGTCAATGATCAGACACTAGAGATGACTTCCGGTGTAAGCAAAAACCAGCATTCCTATAGTACAAGACAACTAAGATTTTGAGATTTTATGTATGCATTTATGTATAAAGAAGAAAAGATAATATTTTACTTCTAGTTTGTGTTACTATTTTCTATGATTTCAGTATCATCGATAGATTACATAAGCGTCAGTGATAAGAGGTTCATGTGACATGAAAAGTTTATTTATGATGCAATCAACTACACGAAAGTCAATAATTGACAGAGTCGGGAAAGCCATTTCTCTGTCACTCATAAATTTTATAAGCTATGATTATCTTCTAGTTGATAATTAAATGTTCTATAGCTATGTTACAGTATGACAGAATAATTGACATGTGTATAATTAGCACTTTCATTCATAAAGTTTTTCTCTCATAAGTTCTAATATAGACTGCGTTATTGCTAAATCTTTTTCAAACATTAGCACATTTTACTGTTCGGTTGTTTCGCAATTTTCAAATAATTCAAGTGGAAAATTTTCTGAATGTGAAACTCATTTATTTGTTTCAGTTGAGTGTGTCACTTTACGATTTTTACTTCCTGTTGTTCAAAACTTTATTCGAAATCTTAATCTATTCAAAACAACTTCTCAAAATCCAAACGTATTACGCAAACAACGTATTACAACTTATGCATTTCTCTTATGTATCGTAGTCAGTGTTTATCTGTACTATGTCTATCTTATTTTCAGTACTCATACANCCAATAATCCCATGATAATCCCAATAATCCCATGATAATCCGAATAATCCCATAATAATCTCAATAATTCCATAATAATCCCAATAATCCCAATAATCCCATAATAATCCCAATAATCCCAATAATCCCATAATAATCCCAATAATCCCAATAATCCCATAATAATCCGAAAAATCCAAAGAATCCGAATCCGCCGTTTCCCCCTTGATTTAGTGAGTCTTTTAGCACAACCACAATTTTTCATTGAGGCAAACATCTATGCATCTCTGAATTTTACATTCGATGCAATATTAGCAAAGCTGAAACGATATATACTCATATATCGTGAAACAATATTGGTGAATCAAGCAATATTGAGCTTAAATACTAATTATTTCATTTACTTCAATGATAACAGTGGTCATCTCACTGCATTTGTAAATGCCGTGAGTTTTTCAGATGGTTGTTCTTGTGAATATTTGGATGGATGTTCACGTCCTGCTATGATTTTTGAAGGCAATGAAATATCTCATTGGATGACGGTACCAGGCATCATATTCGACTGCTTACCATTAGATGCCGCATTCTCTTCGTTGTTAGAATGCTTTTACGATTCATTGTGTTTATCCTTAATTCAAAATTTGTTATCAACTAATATGAGACTATCACCACTAAATGGTAGAAGTCGTTTCGAACTCAATACCACTTTAATGATACTTATAAATGAACTAATGATTGAAGACATAATCATGAAATACAATTTTTCATCTTACTATTCTATTTGCAATCCTAAATATTGTACATATTCATACACTCGCCGATTCGATTTAAGTTTTGTCATCACATTCGTTAGTAGTGCGTTTAGTGCTGGATTACTTATATTAAAATCTATAGCTCCATTTTTAGTCAAGCTAGCATTTATGATAATTTCATGGAGAAAAAACAAGAATTCGACAAATGTTGGCGACAATGATCAAGTTTTAAGTTCGTGTGAGTTATTTAAATTTAAAAAAAAATATTCAAAATTCTATTTCAAACCTTTGTTACAATATGAATATCATTATAATATGATTGAGAAGAATTCTCGCAGTCGACGTCGAATCAGTTTCTTACGTCAAATTTCGTATTTGTTACAAACTTTTATAGAGTACCGTATATTAGTATAATGTAGTTATTATTTAGAACCGACAAGTCATGAAGACGATTTAAGTTTCGTTCAAATTCTATGAGAGATAAAATAATCTCTTATGGAATATGAATATGAGCGGCACTTAATTTTTCTTTATCGCAAGCGTTAAGTATCATAAAATCCACAGATTATTTTTCCATGAAAGCTAACGATCTAGTGCTATTCGATGTCTTCGGAGATTAGCTAAATGAATAGATAATAAGGACCTAGAACTACTATGTGCAAAAGAAACCAGCGTACTCATAAGTAATATTTCATTTTCGAATATATTGACAATATTTAATTTAATATTTTATTATACGGTTTATATAAGTCATCGACCAACTGTATATCCAGCTACAAGACAGTGAGGAAATGAAATGAGAAAAAAAATTGAAAACATCTTGGGCAAACAAACATTAAATTAAAAGAACGAAATCATAGGATCATATAAAAACAAAATGTATGCTCATCAAAAAACTTGACTTTGCATCTTACAACCATTGAACCTTTTATGAAGTAGTTATTAACTATATGCAACAAGTAACTTACAAACATTTAATGATGATGTTTTTTTTCTGTTTAAATTAATCATATGATAAATTCGCTCTGCTTATAATGATCATATCACGATTGTGAAAATCAATGTATGCTATTCATTAGCGTTGATGCCTTGAACATAGTTTTGATTTAGGAAAAACTCAAAAACTGCATTGATTAGAATATTGACAAACGCCATCATTCAATGTAAATATTCCGGAGCTTGTTTAAATGTAGAGGTGGAGGTCAATAATACATAGATGAGAAGGCATAAAAATTCTACTTTACAAAGTTATATGTGCTATTTTATTTGAAAATACTGGCGACTTCCATAACTGTTGTGGAAAAAAAAACTTAGTTCATCAATTTTTAATTAACATATAATATTGTCTGATTGATCACTTTACTATGATATAAATTATAAGTAGAATGTATGTCAATGATCAGACACTATAGATGACTTCCGGTGTGACCAAAAATGAACATTCCTATACTGGAAGACAACTAAAATTTTGAGATTTTATGTATGTATGTATGTATAAAGAAGAAAAGACAATATTTTACTTCTAATATATATTACTATTTTCTATGAATTCAGTATCATCGATGGATTACATAAGCGTCAATGATAAGAAGTTCATGTGACATGAAAATTTTATTCTTCATGCAACCAACCATACCAAAGTTAATAATTGACAGAATTGGGAAATCAACTCCTCTATCGATTATAAATTTTATAAACTATGATTATTCCACTAGTTGATAATTAAATGTTCTATAGTTACACTACGGTATGACATAAAAATTGACATGTGTATAATCAGCTCTTTCATTCATATAGTTTTCCCCTCATAAGTTCTAGTATAAATTGGGTTATCGTTAAATCTTGTTCAAACATTAGCACTTTATGCTATACGATTGCTTCCCAATTTTTAAGCGATCCTATCAGAAAATTTTCTGAATGTGGAATTCATTTATTTGTTTCAGTTAAGTGTTTCACTTTACGATTTTTACTTACTGTTATTCGAAACTTTATTCAAAATCTTAATCTATTCAAAACAACTTCTGAAAATTCAGATGTATTCCGCAAACAACGTATTACAACTTACCTATTTCTCTTATGTATCGTAGTCAGCATTATTATATACTGTTTCTATCTTATTCTCAGCACTCATACAAAGACTATCATGGTAAATAACCCATCTTCAGACGACTATAGACATCTCTGGACAATGTATTCCGATAATGTTAACTGCCCGTGCTCCCAAATTGCTGTTCCATACTCGAGTTCTATTCAGATTGTACCGACATTTCATCAATTATGTTCAAGTATGTTTATTTCTCCAGAATGGTTCAACACTTTATTGAGAATGCAACTTCTTGATACAAATGATTATGAGAGTAGCTTTAAAGAGTTGATCGGAGCATATTATTTCAAAGCTCTTTCCGTATTTTGTTCAATAGCAAATAAAACTATGTTAGATGCTTATCAATTGCTTTATGCCAACGTAGTAGTCAATGATCGCATTCAACCTGAAAATATTTTTAACATTGCAATGAAAGAAGTGACTAATAAGTTCACCGACTCAACACGTTCTTAATTTTATCACACTCTGTCAATAACTCGAACTCTGACAAATGCGAATGCATTTCTTAGCAAAATGAGGATAAACTTACACGCAGGAGACGATGATCAAATAGATATATATGCACCAGCACTATTGCCGCCTGATCATCGTACCGGCTATACGTGCTCTTGTTTATTAGAAAGTTTTGATTGCTTTGAATATGCAGACCTGTCCCACTCCTCTTACTATGGAATCAACTATATATCATTCACAGCTATCCAAAGTAAATGTCTGATGACTGAAACAGTACTCGTATCATCATTGGAATGCTGGTTCAATAATTCTTGTTTGAATGACGTAAGCAATTATTATTTTATGATGGGTGCTGGTAATCTCATCGATATTAATCCACTTGATATAAATATTTCAAGTAAATTCATGATCAGTGATACAGTGGAAATATTGATGAATGCTCTTCTACTTGAAAATCAAGCAGTCAACATTTCCTATGATCAATATTACAATAAATGCTCTCCTTTATTTTGTACCTATGATATTCAACAACGATTCGACTTGATATTTTTGATAACCAGTATTGCAGCTATGTATGCAGTTTTAAGTAAAATTCTTCGATTGATATTGCTAATGTTCATTCATTTAATATTTATTGTTTGGAAACGATTTCGATCACAAGATCTTTCTACTAATCAATCAACATCTGTAATTCAAAACACTCACTGTAATAGTACGCAACTGAATATACTTAGTTTTTAAGATAGCGCATAAATTTCTTATACATTTCAAGTCATTCGTAATATTCTAATCCTAAAGATTGTTTCAAAACTAGTATTCAAAACAGAAGGAGTTTATACGTCGACTTTAAAGTCTGCGTTTCTATAGAAAAATCCGATAATAGTTACAGCATTGTCTGAAAAACAATATTTCATTCAAAAGAACTATTGCCTTTGCGAAGCAATCATGGTTGTTTCTCTGGATTTTCGAAAAAAAAACTGAAAGTTCTTAATGAGTTATGATGCTGACAGAGATGCGAGAACATTTTGGTAAATGAGTAACTCTGAAAACTTTAAAAAGTGAGATCCGTCCGGAGTATCGAGCAGCATCCTTAGAAATATCTTATATTGCTAGAATGTCATGCAAGTTCCCACTAAAAATATCACATGAAGCATGGCAGGATACCAGAACTGAAAATTCTAAAAGAAAGAAGTAAAGTAACACGTATACAATGGTTCATCTGAGGCGATAACTCTAAATGAATCACATTTTTGTGAACAAATATAGTAAAATTCTTCAAAAACTGCAACATTTCTATATTAATTATCAGTTACTTTTAATATCTTCTTCATGAGTAAAACATATGAAATTGATTTTGGTCAATAAAATTAATCATTTTACTTAGTTGAAGTTTAGTGGAAATATAGAGAATATCATGTGAATTGTTGAACGACCTCTAAGAATTCTATGAAGATATTCATACAACGAGACTCACTTTTAGCCATCTTCAATTTTAGACCAAACGGCTTCGTACATCAGTCGAATTCGAGAATATATAGTTACATTCAATCTCTTTGAAACAAACTCTAACATAAATTCTGTTCAGAGACAAGAAATTATGTCGACACGCCTCTATCTCATTTTCTTGGTTGGTTTCACGATTCTTTTTTTCTTCTACGTTGGAGTAGTTGAACGACCATCGACTATAATAGTTCCAACTCCTTCTCTATCAACTTATACAAATCTACAAAATACTCACTCTGATACTCTGCAATGTCCTTGTTCAAACATATCCATATCATACAAAGAATTTACTATTTTTCTCAATGTCACATTTCACCCCATTTGTACCAGCGATATGCTACGGATTTGGCTCAGATATTTCGAGGTATATGATACATTACTAATTTGGTGGCTTAAGAAAAACGATTTTCGAAAATGGGGTGCAGTATTGTTTAATTTCCTTAATGTGCTTTGTGCTCAGGCAAACTCGACGGTGATTAATTCCATTGAACAATATTACTCCCGTTCATTTTTGTCTGTTGAAGTCATGCCTAATATTCTATTTTTCAAAGATACTGACTCTGAACTTAAATCGTTACAACAATCAATATCGAGTGAATGGCTCCATCTATTGCAAGTATTTCGTGATTTTTCTCAAGGTAACGGTTTAATTTCAATTTTGGGAACTAACGTAGAAATGAAGCTTGGAGAAGCAGGTATTAATGGTCGTGTTCTTATTCTCCCCAAAACGTACAATAATGGAACTTGTTCATGTGCTACTTCAAGTAAATGCATGGAGCCAGCAGGTTTCTACAATCTGAGTCTTCACAAAGTATACACTATTAGCAATATTTTCATGGGCTGCTTCTTACTTGAATCAATTTTCCATTCGTCTCTTTCTTGTTTCTTCTCAAATTCTTGCATGATAGATTTTATGAATGCAACTAAGCTGGGAGATCCATCTCTAATCGGTATCCCACACATAGTTAATATTTTTTCATTGCAGTTTTCCTCATCAATATCTAACTTTAACATTAATGATACAATTGAAACTATCGCCAATCGAGTATTCATTGACTTTTAGTCAAATGAAACGTCCTATGAGCAATATTGCACTGCGTGTGCACCAATATCCTGCAGTTACGTGAAGCAACAATATTTGAATCTTGTTTACGCACTGATAATGTTCTTAAATGTATTTAGTGGATTTTCAGTAGTATTTAAATATATAGTTCCACTTTTAGTTGGAATGGCATATAAATTACGTCGTCATTTCAAATCATCACGAGTATCATCAAGCTATTAATCCTTAATACCCAAACAGACACATTTTTTAAGCATGACACTGCACCGATACAAAAACTATTGATTTTCAAATATTTAATAAAGACTAAAATCAAAATCAATTGATATAAATACTATTGTTCATTTTAAATACTATTTACTCCACTATTTTGAATAAATTAATAACTATTGGTCAAGTAATCAGTATAAAAGGAAGTTATTTAAAATACTTAGTCCAAATTCTCATCCATACATAGGAACACATGACTTAACACGTGCAAATCAATACCCACAAATCTTTAGTTTTTTGTATGACACTCTGCTCAGTTGAGTGAATAAAAATATCAGAATAATGATATGATTGTAAGTTAATAACAAAGATAAAACTATATGCAAAGTCATTTCAAGACAGAGCGAATAATTCGTTGATATATAAACCATGGAAGAATAGAAAAAAATTTATTAGGTCACAGTTGACTAGCCTGACATTTCGTTTTGTGCTGATAACTGCTTCATTTATCGCGTGTTACTTTTCTCTCTCCAAGTATATGTAAGTATACAGGTAGGTAAACTAAGATGTTAGTCGTGATTAATCAAAATAAACAATGCTTCAATGTGCGCTATTTTATCCGTATCCTAACATGTTACATCCAATGCTTTTTAGTACAGTTCGTGGCAATGTACTTGTCTTAAATAATCGAATTCAATGTAAGGAACAAGATAAATTTACCTATCAGGAAATGTTTGCATTTCTTCCTTTATTTGGTCATCCAAATCCAAAGCAAGTTCGTAGTACAATATTTTGTTTCCCATTCAATCTTATCTTTTTGATTTATCTTGAAGTTCTAATCATTAATGAAGGTGAGGGTTGTTTTTCTTCATGCATTTATCAATCATCGGAAAAGTTGATGAAGTTGTTCTTTGGAAAATTGATCAGGTAGTCATAAATGTACTTCCGAACATAAAATGTCTCTGATAAAAACTTATAGAATGTAATTGATGCCAGCAAGAAATATTTTCTAGAAATTTTCAAAGATATTTTTTCACCAAAAGTGACGATTCATATTGATGATGGATTTGAATATTTAAAACATCTTAAGAATGAATTCGATGTTATCATTATAGATTCTTTTGATCCAGAAGGTAACTCTTGATAATTTAACCATTCTAGTATTCTGCTGTTATTATGTCCAGCCGAGTCTTTGTTTACAAAGTCGTACTATGAAATATTGAAGAAAGCACTTAAACCATCATACGGTGTCATGATTTATCAAGCTGTTATTTGCTCAAAAAAATGAATTTAAGTTGTAATAAACGCAATACTAAAGGTATGTGCCAGTTGCTTAGAACATACATGTTTAGAATATTTTCTATTATTGTTTTCTTTCAACCTGAAAACATTGCTCTTTTAGTTTTATCAACTAATCATTAAATTAATTCCTGCAAATCTTGTTCTGAAACAACACCAGTTTACTTTTTCAATTAGAAATTTCTATTTCAATCAAACAATCTTGTTCAACTTATAAAGAATTCAAAAGAAAAATATCTTTATGAAATAACTATCATTAACAACGATGTAGTTCCAGGACTAATTCATGAGAAATATTAACACTCCAAGAAAGTATTCTGCATTCTTATAAAATAAAGAACAAATTTTCTAGTATCTATATACAATTTCGTTTTTTAGTTAATTATTTAAATGAATATATATATACATAAATTAATCGGTATAAATGAAGATTTTTTCTTTACTTTCAGCTATTTTATGTGAATTTATCTTTCACTATTGAAATAACAAAGATATGTTGTGAAATTTTAAAATCATATCAAACATTAATTTTTTTCATCATAGACAACTTTTCTTTTTCTTTCAATATTCTATTGAATAAAAACAAATTTTTCAATAATTATTATATGAATAACTTCAATTATGATTTAGTTGATAAATCGATTGAAGAAAGTAATCAAAACAATCTTCATTGAATATCCTACAACTCATAAAAGAGTTTCATTTGATAATGTCAATAATAACATGAAGAAAACAAAATTCATTATTGTTTCTTTCGTATATAAAGGAAAAAAAAATTATTTTATGAATACATAGCAAGTGATTTTTATCGAAAAATCTTCAGTTTAACTTGAAACCAGAATAGAAAGCAAACAATGTAATTCATAAATAGCTTCTCAACTTTTTTTTACTGCATAAAATAATTTTATTTTAAAAACAAAATATTGAACGCATCTATAAATATGTTAAACAAAAAAACTAAAACCCTTAAAAGCTAAATTTATTTCTCTTTTGTTTTTGAATAGAATGTCTTCGATCGTTTGGTTCAAGAACTTTCCCGTCTCTCATATTATAGAAGAAGAAAACACGAAGGTTAAAACTATTGTGAGTATGAATGTTAATCTCTTCTTTTCCTACACCTTATTACTATCATTTTCACTGTTCAGGTTTACAATATTGAACTATTTCTTAAATATTTCTTAGACAAAGGTCAGTAAGATTATTGATTTATTCTAAGTTTAGCATAAAATTTTAAAAATAAAACAAATAAATTAATCATAATTAATCTATATTTATTAATTAAATCATGTTTTATTTAATGATTAAGATTAAATAGTATTAAATAAAATTTAAAACAAATTCAATTTTTTTTTATGAAATATGTTCAAGATTTATTTTATAAACTTCTCGGTAACTTTTTAATGAACATTTTCATAAATTCACAATCATCAATAGTTATACATTTAAATACAAATTTTTTTACTAAATTCATTTTTCTTGTGAAGCATTTCAATACATGTTAATTGTACATGATAAAGAAATTTTCCAACAGATATTTTCTCACAAGGTTCAATAGGTCAAGCTTTTTCCATAACACTTTTTAAAAATAAAGATATATCATTTGACCTCTCACCATGCATTGCAAATTTTTATTAAATTTCTGCTGATTATAATCCATTAAGAAAACATTTAACTATTAAAAGTTCATAAAGAATAAATGTTAATGCATAAATATCTGAGGTTTTAGTTGGCATTTTGTTATCTATAATAAGCTCAGATACATCATAATCAACAGTATCAGCTGATTGTTTAACCAATGTAGTTAATGCTGTTGCGATTTGAAAACTAAGACCAAAATCAACTATCTTTGGTATAGAATTATCATTTAAAGTTTGATAAAGAAGAACATTTTCTGGTTTAAAATCACAATAAACAAGTTCTGAAATACCTAATGCCATTTCGAAATGCTTTTTTTGTATAGATAAATTACGAATAATTGTTGAATTATTAGCAAAAGCTGTAGTAAGTAATGCTTGATTAGCATATTCCATAACAGTACCATCATAAACTGTGTCTAAACTAGACATATGCGATAATGAACGCGATAAAGCTATTTTAATGGAATATTTATCTTTCACACTAAATATTCTGCTTATAGCACTGCACTATTTGTTGTTGTTTTGAAATAATTATTATTTTATTTTTAAGATGAGATGGGAAACAATAATCTTCAAGTTTATTTCGTGCTTCTTGAATAGCATCAATCATTGTTTGATAAATAGATATATTATTTTTAAGTTGTCTATTATATAATAGACATAAATGAAGATCTTTACAACAATCTCGATAAACAATATGTTTATCATTTACTGAACAAAGTATCATTGGCATTTTAAAATAAACAATTTTATTGATACAATCAAAATATTTTCATAAATTTGAAAATTTCTAAATATTATACAGTGCTTTGTCTTGTTTTTTATATCTCAACATGTTACAATAATACAAATGATTAAATAAATTCTGTGATTCAGATGAATTTATTATGTTTCAAAGAAAAAAATCTGAATCTATTTAATAATATATTACCTACTAAGTATATCAGATGCTATTTCAACAGGAGTCAATCGACAAAAACAAATAGGACATCGGGTTTTATGTAAAAAAGTAATCCAATCAATATTATTTTGATCGTTTAATTTCTGATTATCAAACAGATGTAGGATCAAGAACCATTATATAATTGATCGAATCTTGACTGTTTTTAATTATGCTTGACGTTCAATAATTTTTTTCTATAAAATGATGAATTGCTTAATGAAATTGTTGTCGTTATGCATGATCTTGAAAATATTCAGCCTCATCGTTTTCAATTGAATCTCGCACATCTCCGCAAGTTTCGATACGATTAATTATACTGTAATTATACCCTATTTTCTCAATATAACTAACATTATCATTTTAAATCGAATATATACATTTCCATGGATTCCAACTATCGTCCAATATAATGTCATCATGAATTAAACGAAAGAAATCATCCCACAAAAATCCCAATTTCTCACGAAATATTTTTATTTTTTATTCCAATATTAAACAAAAACTAAATATGCAATTTGAATCATTAGCTAATGAATTATGACGTGACATATTTGAATATTTCAGTACTATTGAATTTATTTATATATATTTACAGATGTATCCACTTGATTTTCGATCAATATCTAAAAAAAGATTTTAATAGAATGATGATACTCTTGACCAACCAAATCTGTTTTTTTTTTCATATGGCTTTCATTTTCAGCAATTTACTAAATTACAATCACTTTCATTATATTATATTCGTTCAGCAGATTTAATTACTGATATAAAATATGATTGTCCTCATTTAATTTATCTTAAAATTAGTTAATGTAATTTCAATGATAATATGGATATAGCTCAAATATGTATCAATAATATATTGAATTAACTAAATTAAAATATTGTTATGTATATATATAACATTTTTTAATGATTTTTATATTCCATTACCAACAATAATATCATTATCAATCGAAAATCTTTCTATATCAAATAATTTTATTTGTTGATTTCGACATACACCTAATTTACAAGATACATTTTATGATGAAGATTTTCCATTAATGATCCTTTTATTACCAAAATAAAAAATATTTTTTAAAAATTCATTAAATACCTTAATACATCTTTTACAAATTATGCCTAATTTAACAGAATCAATTATTGAAACCAACAGTATTTATATTGACGGATATCAATGGAAACAACTTATTAATAATAATTTATATAAATTAAAAATCTTTCGATTATTAATGCTCTATCAAATAAATATTAAAAAACATAAATACAGAAATTGATCAATTAATTGAATCATTCTAAACATCAATGGTTTATGCAATGTGATTATGATACTGGATTTGGATTTATTTTTCTTTATATTGTACTGTAAAGAATATTCAAAACACAATGACAAGAAAAGGAACTGAATATTTCCTTTTAGTCTAGGTAAACGAATAAAAATTTGTACAATGAAGGACTATATTTATTTTTCATACTTTTAAGTATAGTTATAATTAGCTTGGACTCCTTAGTTTCTTTTATATTTTCACTGTTATTTGCGTTCTTTTCATTTATGTTTGCTTTTATGGCTTCATCTAATATTTTTTTTGTGAAACGCGAACTGAAAGAAGTGTGGAAGTATATAAAGGTGAAAATTTGGACCCCCGTTCCGACAGACGATCTCTGAGTAAGTTCGTGGTTCATATTTTTTAATATCTGTAATGAGAAGGGGAGTTGGAAGCCGTGACAACTCGCTCTTAAACATATGTGAGTTCCAAAAAAGTGTCCCATTTATCATATTGTATGAACGGCTTCGATGTTAATCTTGATTTCTATGATAAAAATCTGTTAAGATAATCAACATACATTGTTTCGCTAAGGCGTTGAGCAAGAAATAAATAACTCCAATGTCATTTGACGGAGAAATATTTGCTCTTCCAAGTTTCTGTCTTTTTTCGAAGCAAGTATTCATTGAGATAAAGTTATCTCAACTGGCAGCTGAATTTAACGTTTTCTGGATTTTTAGTTCATTGATATTTATAAAAAGTTGGCTTATATTAGAAAGATTTCAGATGAATTAAAGTTAATATTTAATTTTTTAACAAGCTTTATACAATGTTAAATGAATTAACGTGCTCATAGTAATTTATTTGTTATTCTCGTTTAGTGAGGAAAGATCTTCGAGCATGAGTTTCAGTTCTGAGCAGAATACAGAATAATGTCTAGATCTCAAACAATGGATTATCTTATTATTTTCTGTCTTTCGTTCCTTGATCTTCAAAGAAAGAAAAATGGGTGTGGGTGTGGGTGTGGGTGTGGGTGTGGGGTGTGTGGGTGTGGGTGTGGGTGTGGGTGTGGGTGTGGGTGTGGGTATGGGCGTTGGTGTTCAGCAGTTCTATTCAACCACACTCACTCACACCCACACCCACACCCGCACACCCCACACCCACACCCCACACCCACACCCACACCCACACCCACACCCACACACCCACCCACACNTTTTTCAGATGGTTGCTCTTGTCAATATTCGAATGGATGTCCACGTTCTACTGTGATTATTGATAGCAATGAATCATTTGATTCGATGGCGGTACCAGGCATTATGTTCGACTGCTTACCATTAGATGCCGCACTCTCTTCGTCGTTGGAATGTTTTTACGATTCATGGTGTCTATCCTTAATTCAAAATTTGTCATCAACTAATATGAGACTATCACCACTAAATGGTAAAAGTCGTTTCGAACGCAATACTAATTTAACAATACTTTTAAATGAACTAATGATTGAAGAAAAAATGATGAAATACAACTTTTCATCTTATTATTCTATTTGCAGTCCGAAATATTGTACATTTTCATACACTCGCCGATTCGATTTAAGTTTTGTCATCGCATTCGTTAGTAGTGCGTTTAGTGCTGGATTACTTGTATTCAAATCTATAACTCCATTCTTAGTCAAGCTTGCATTTATAATAATTTCATGGAGAAAAAAGAAAAATTCGGAAAATGTTGATGACAATCATCAAACCTCAAGTTCTTGTGAGTTATTAAAATTTAAAAAAACTAGAGTCAAAATTCCATTTCAAACCTTTGCTACTGCATAAATATCATTGTAGTATGATTGAGAATCGTTTTCGCAGTCAATGATGAATCAATTTCTAACGTCAAATCTCGTATTTGTTATATACTTCTATAGAGCACTGTATATTGGTATAATGCAATTATTATTTAGAACCGACAAGTCATGAAGAAGATTTATATTCTGTTCAGATTCTACGAGAGAGAATATGATCGTTTATGAAATCTTTATCGAATGCGTTAAGCCGTTAAGTACCATCAAGTCCACAGATTATTTTTCCGTGACAGTTGATTATCCAGTACTATTCTATGTCTTCGGATATTAGCTAAATGAATAGACAATAATCACGTAAAACAATAATGTGAGAAAGAAATCAGCATGCTCATAAGTAATATTTCATTTTTGAACATATTGACAGCTTTTTATTTTATATGTTTTATTATACGATTCATGTAAGTCATCCACCAATTGTATATCCAGCTGCAAGACAGTGAAGAAATGAAAAGAGAAAAGAAATGAAAACATCTTGGGCAAACAAACATTAAATTAAAAGAACGGAACTGTACGATCATATAAAAAAACTTGAAAATCATCAAAAAATTTGATTTCGCAATTTACAGCCATTGAATCTTTTCTGAAGTAGTTATTAACTATATGCAACAAGTAACTTATAAACAGTTAATAATGATGTTTTGTTTCCGTTTAAATCAATCATGTGATAAATTTGCTCTGCATATATAATCATCATATTACGATTGTGAAAGTCAATCTATGCTATTCAATACTGTCAGTACCTCGAGCATAATTTTGATTGAGGAAAAACTCAAAAACTACATTGATTAGAATATTGTCAAACGCCATCATTCAATATAAATATTCCGAAGTATGTTTAAATGTAGAGGTGTGGAGGTCAATAATACATAGACGAGAAGGCATAAAACTTCCAATTTACAATGTTACATGTGCTATTTTCTTCGAAAAGACAAGTGACTTCCATAGATGCTGTAGAAAAAAAAACTTAGTTGATCAATTTTTAATTAACATATAATATTGTCTGATTGATCATTTTACTATGATATAAATTATTAGTAGAATATGTGTCAATGATCAGACACTAGAGATGACTTCCGGTGTAAGCAAAAACGAATATTCCTATACTACAAGACAACTAAGATTTTGAGATTTTATGCATGCATATATGTATAAAGAAGAAAAGACAATATTTTACTTCTAATTAGTTTATGTTACTATTTTCTATGATTTCAGTATCATCGATAGATTACATAAGCGTCAGTGATAAGAGGTTCATGTGACATGAAAAGTTTATTTATGATACAATCAACTACACCGAAGTCAATAATTGACAGAGTCGGAAAAGCAATTCCTCTGTTACTCATAGATTTTGTAAACTATGATTATCTACTAGTTGATAATTAAATGTTCTATAGCTACAATACGGTAGAACATAAAAACTGGCATGTATATAATTAGCTCTTTCATTCATAAAGTTTTCCCCTCAAAAGTTCTAATATAGACTGCGTTATTGCTAAACCTTTTTCAAACATTAGCACATTGTACTGTTCGGTTGTTTCGCAATTTTGAAATAATTGAATTGGAAAATTTTCTGAATGTGAAACTCATTTATTTGTTTCAGTTAAGCGTGTCAATTTACGATTTCTACTTACTATTGTTCAAAACTTTATTCAAAATCTTAATCTATTCAAAACAACTTCTCAAAATCCAAATGTATTACGCAAACAACGTATTACAACTTATCTATTTCTCTTATGTATTGCAGTCAGTATTTATATATACAGTTCCTATCTTATTCTCAATACTCATACAAAGACTATCATCGTAAATAGTCCATCTCCAGACGACTATAGACATCTCTGGGCAATGTATTCCGATAATGTTTACTGTCCATGCTCACAAATTGCTGTTCCATACTCGAGTTTTATTCAAATTGTGCCGACATTTCATCAATTATGTTCAAGTAAGTTGATTTCTCCAGAATGGCTCAACAGTATATTGAAAGTACAACCTTCTTCGATTTATGAGCATTCTTCTTTTGATAATTTGATGGGAGCATACTATTTCAAAGCTCTCTTCGCATTTTGTTCAATAGCAAATAAAACTATGTTAGTTGCTTATCAATTGTTTTATGCCAATGTATTAGTTAATGACCGTATTCAGTCGGAAAATATCTTTAACATTAAAATGAAAGATCTGGTTGATAAGTTCACTGACTCAACACGTTCTGAATTTCAACGTACTTTGTCAATCACTCGAACTCTGATAACTGCGAATGCATTTATTAGCACAATAAGAATAAGCAAACAAGTAAAGTCAACAGACGGTAGTCGAATAGATATAATGGTACCAATACTACAACGTGGTGATTTGTGTGTTGGTTATTTTTGCTCTTGTTTATTACAAAGTGTTGATTGCTATGAATATGCAAATATCAATTATCCTGCTGATACATTCGAATCTACGGCATTCACAGCTATAGAAAATAAATGTTTTATGACTGAAACAGTACTCAAAGCATCATTGGAGTGTTGGTTCGATGATTCTTGTTTTGATGTCGTGTACAATTACTATGTTACCAGGGCTGTTGACAATCTTATCAGTATTAATCCCCTTGATATACATATTTCAAGTAAATTCATGATCACTGATACAATGGAAATATTGATGAATGCTCTTCTACTTGAAAATCAAACAGTTAATGTTTCTTACAATCAATATTACAATAAATGCTCTCCTTTGTTTTGTACTTATGATATTCAACAACGATTCGACTTGATATTTTTGATAACCAGTATTGCAGCTATGTATGCAGTTTTAAGTAAATTTCTTCGATTGATTTTGCCAATGCTGGTCCACTTAATATTTATTGCTTGGAAACGATTTCGATCACAAGATCTTTCTACTCATCAATCAACATCCATAATTCAAAACACTCACTGTAATAGTACGTAACTGAATATATTTAGTTTTTGAAGATAGCGCATAAATTTGTTATACATTTCAAGTCATTAGTAATATTATAATCCTCATGATTGTTTCAAAACTCTTATAAAAAAACAGAAGAAGTTTATACACCGACTTTAGAGTATCCGTTTCTATAGAAGAATCCGATAGTAGTTACAGCACTGTCTGAAAAAGAATATTTCATTCAAAAGAACTATTGCCTTTGCGAAGCAATCGTGGTTGTTCCTCTGGATTTCCGAAAAAAATTCGATGAACAGAGCAGAAGTTAGGTAAAGCTATTGATCTTGTAGAAGAAATAACAAAAAAAACTGAAAGTTCGTGATTCGTTATGATACTGACAAACATGCAAGAANGCACTCTCTTCGTCGTTGGAATGTTTTTACGATTCATGGTGTCTATCCTTAATTCAAAATTTGTCATCAACTAATATGAGACTATCACCACTAAATGGTAAAAGTCGTTTCGAACGCAATATCACTTTAACGATACTTTTAAATGAACTAATGATTGAAGAAAAAATAATGAAATACAATTTTTCATCTTATTATTCTATTTGCAATCCTAAATATTGTACATTTTCATACACTCGTCGATTCGATTTAAGTTTTGTCATCGCATTCGTTAGTAGTGCGTTTAGTGCTGGATTACTTTTATTAAAATCTATAGCTCCATTCTTAGTCAAGCTAGCATTTATAATAATTTCATGGAGAAAAAACAAGAATTCGACAAATGTTGGCGACAATCATCAAACCTCAAGTTCGTGTGAGTTATTTAATTTAAAAAAAATATTCAAAATTCTATTTCGAACCTTTGTTACCATATAAATATCATTGTAGTATGATTGAAAAGAATTTTCGCAGTCGATGACGAATCAGTTTCTTACGTCAAATTTCATATTTGTTACAAACTTTTATAGAGTACTGTATATTAGTATAATGCCGTTATTATTTGGAACCAACAAGTCACAGAGACGATTTATATTTCGTTCAAATTCTACGACAGAGAATATAATCCCTTGTGAAAGTCTAATGAAATAATGAATAGAAATAGGTTATATTTCAACTATCCTATTCATAAATGTGAGCGAGACCTAAATATTCTTTATCGGAAGCGTTAAGCCATTAGGTACCATACAATCCACAGATTATTTTTCCGTTAAAGTTAACGATCCAATTAGTACTATTCGATGTCTTCAGACATTAGCTAAATAAATAGATAATAAGAACTTAGAACAACTATGTACAAAAGAAATCAGCGTGCTCATAGGTAATATTTCATTTTTGCATATATATTGATAGCTTTTTATTTTATATTTTATTATACGATTTGTATAAGCCATCGATCAAGTGTATATTCAGCGACAAGACAATGAGGAAATGAAATGAGAAAAAATAGGCAGATTACGAAGAAAGAAGTATGAAAACATGAGAAAGGTAATGATAAATACTAAACAAGTTAAAGACATGCTGAAAACATCTTGCGTAAACAAACTATAAATTGAAAGAACGAACTCGTAGGATCATATACAAAAGAAATGTATGCTCATAAAAAAATTTGACTTTGCATCTTACAACCATTGAACCTTTTATGAAGTAGTTATTAACTACATTAAACAAGTAACTTATGAACACTTAGTGATGATGCTTTTTTTTAATTTAAATCAATAATGTGGTAAATTTACTGTGCTTGTTATGACCATATTACGATTGTGAAAGTCAATGTATGCTATTCAATACTGTCAGGGCTTTGAACATAATTTTGATTGAGGAAAAGCTCAAAAACTACATTGATTAGAATATTGTCAAACGCCATCATTCAGTGTAAATATTCCGGAGTTTGTTTAAATGTAGAGGTGTGGAGGTCAATAATACATAGACGAGAAGGCATATAACTTCCAATTTACAATGTTACATGTGCTATTTTCTTCGAAAATACAGGTGACTTCCATAGCTGTTGTAGAAAAAAAAACTTAGTTGATCAATTTTTAATTAACATATAATATTGTCTGATTGATTACTTTACTATGATATAAATTATTAGTAGAATGTATGTCAATGATCAGACACTAGAGATGACTTCCGGTATAAGCAAAAATGAACATTCCTATACTACAAGACAACTAAGATTTTGAGATTTTATGTATGTATGTATAAAGAAGAAAAGACAATATTTTACTTCTAGTTTATGTTACTATTTTCTATGATTTCAGTATCATCGATAGATTACATAAGCGTCAATGATAAGAAGTTCATGTGACACGAAAAGTTTATTTATGATGCAATCAACTTCACCAAAGTTAATAATTGACTGAGTTGGGAAATCAATTCCTCTGTCACTCCTAAATTCTATAAACTATGATTATCTACTAGTTGATAATTAAATGTTCTATAGTTACACTACAGTATGACATAAAAGTTGACATGTGTATAATCAGCTCTTTCATTCATAAAGTTTTCCCCTCATAAGTTCTAATATAGACTGCGTTATTGCTAAATCTTTTTCAAACATTAGCACTTTATACTATACGGTTGTTTCCCAATTTTTAAGCGATGCAATCAGAAAATTTTCTGAATGTAACACTCGTTTATTTGTTTCAGTTAAGTGTTTCATTTTACAATTTTTACTTACTTTTATTCGAAACTTTATTCAAAATCTTAATCTATTCGAAACAACTTCTCAAAATCCAAATGTATTACGCAAACAACGTATTACAACTTATGTATTTCTCTTATGTATCGTAGTCAGTATTTATATATACAGTTTCCATCTTATTCTCAGTACTCATACAAAGACTATCATCGTAAATAACCCATCTTCAGACGACTATAGACATCTCCGGACAATGTATTCCGACAATATTAACTGTCCGTGCACCCAAATTACTGTTCCATACTCAAGTTTTATTCAAATTGTGCCGACATTTCATCAATTATGCTCAAGTATGTTGATTTCTCCAGAATGGTTCAACAGTTTATTGAAAATACGACCTTTTTCTTCGATTTATGACTCATTTTCTTTTGATAATTTGATCGGAGCATACTATTTCAAAGCTCTTTTCGTATTTTGTTCAATAGCAAATAAAACTATGTTAGATGCTTATCAATTGTTTTATACCAATGTATTAGTCAATGACCATATTCAGTCGGAAAATATCTTTAACATTAAAATGAAAGATCTGGTTGATAAGTTCACTGACTCAACACGTTCTGAATTTCAACGCACTTTGTCAATCACTCGAACTCTGATAAATGCGAATGCATTTATTAGCACAATGAGGATAAGCAGAGAACTAGAGTCAACAGACGATAGTCGAATAGATATAGTGATACCAGCACTACTGATGGGTGATACGCGTATTAACATGTATTGCTCTTGCTTATTACAAAGTTCTTATTGCTATGAATATGCACGTATCTATTATTCTGCCGATGTATACAACTTTATGACATTCAACGCTATAAAAAATAAATGTTTGATGACTGAAACAGTACTCGACTCATCATTGAAGTGTTGGTTCGATGATTCTTGTTTTAGTGTCGTGCACAATTATTATGTTATGGTTAGTGTTGATGATCTCATCGATATTAATCCTCTTTACATAGATAATTCAAGTAAATTCATGCTCAATGATACAATGGAAGTATTGATGAATGCTCTTCTACTTGAAAGTCAAACAGTCAACGTTTCTTATAATCAATATTACAATAAATGCGCTCCTTTGTTTTGTACCTATGATATTCAACAACGATTTGACTTGATATTTTTGATAGCCAGTATTGCAGCTATGTACGCAGTTTTAAGTAAAATTCTTCGATTGATTTTGCCAATGCTGGTTCACTTAATATTTATTGCTTGGAAACGATTTCGATCACAAGATCTTTATACTAATCAATCAACATCCATAATTCAAAACACTCACTGTAATAGTACGTAACTGAATATACTTAATTTTTAAGATAGCGTATAAATTTGTTATACATTTCAAGTCATTAGTAATATTATCATCCTTAAGATTGTTTCAAAACTCGTATTCAAAACAGAAGGAGTTTAAACGCCGACTTGAGAGTCTCCGTTTCTATAGAAAAATCCAATCATAGTTACAGCACTATCTGAAAAAGAATGTTTTATTCAAAATAACTGTTGCCTTTGCGAATCAATCGTGGTTGTTTCTCTGAATTTCCGAAAAAACTCTATGAAAAGAGCAGGAATTTGACAAAGCTATTGTTTTTGTAGAAGAAATAACAAAAAAAAAATTGAAAGTTCTTAATTAGTCATGATGCTGGCAAAGATGCAAGAACATTTTGGTAAATGAGTAACGCTCCAAACTGTAAAAATTGAGGTCCTTTCGGAGTATCGAAAAGCATCCTTAGAAATATTTTATATTGCTAGAATGTCATGCAAGTTTCCACTAAAAATATCACATGAAGCATGGTAGGATACCAGAACTTTAAATTATAGAAGAAAAAGTAAAGTAATACGTATACAATGATTCATATGCGATGATAACTCTAAATGAATCACATTTTTGTTGACAAATATAGTAAAATTCTTCAAAAACTGCAACATTTCTATATTAATTATCAGTTACTTTTAATATCTTCTTCGTAAGCAAAAATATGAAACTGATCTTGGTCAATGAAATTAATCATTTTACTTAGTAGAAATTTAATGGAAAAATAGAGGATATCATGTGAATTATTCAATGATTTCTAAGAATTCTATGAAGATGTTCATACCATGAGACTCACTTTTAGCCTTCTTCAATTTTAGGCCAAACGCCTTCGTACATCAGTCGAATTCGAGAACATATAGTTACATTCAATCTCTTCGAAACAGACTCTAACGCGAATTCTGTTCAGAGACAAGAAATTGTATCGACACGACTCTATCTCATTGTCTTGGTTGGTTTTACGATTCTTTTCTTCTTCTACGTTGGACTAGTTGAACGATTATCTACTATAATAGTTCCAACTCCTTCTCTATCAACT